CCTCTTAACATCAGAGCCCAAATGCAATTTCAGGGCCACCAACCCTGCTCTGAATTGTGACCTCCTGTGCTTGAAACGAGTTGCAGATTCTCATTGCTTTGATGAATCTAGATGTTGATGTACATTTAAAATCACAATTCTTTAATGCTGCAACATCCAAGGTTGCAACTCTTTGGTCACAGAACCATCCATCTTTATCCTAGAAGTAGGACCGTTGCAAACAACCTTTTAGCTAGCATGCATATACAGTAATGCTAGCTCATGTGCCATGAGGGAAGAAGTTTAAGTAGTGAAAGTATCTTTGATAATGATGCAATATTTTGATAAACCCCAGATCCACGCACCTTCTGGAATTTTGTTGCATCATCATATCTTTGGGTCGCCAGGCCAAGATTAGCCTTATGTACATGAGGAACGTGTGTGAATGACTGTAAAGTGTTCATGGTAGCGTGCGTGCTTCAACGCCTGCCAATTTCTGATAATCAAACATCGCATATTCGAAATGTTTCTTTTTAAATGGTGTGCTGCCTTGACATCCTGTGATTATAATATTTATAATAATAGTATATTAATATTGATTACGAAAAGTAAAATATTATCAATGAAAATCTTGTAGTTACCCAGCAATGATCTGTTCCGCGTTTTATTTCCAATTAAAATATTTATAAACAAATAAAAACATCAATGCAAATTAAAAAAAAGTACCTCTGGTTAGCTATTAACACGTTACTTTAAGAGACCCAAACCAAACCATAAACCAAACAACAACACTCACGTTTTGTTACCTTGGACTCTGTCAAAAAATAAATTGTTTTTCCAAAAAAGAAAAAAAAAATCAAATCGCGTCCGTCCTACCAAAAAAAAAACCAATAGGATAAATAGTTAATGTGTACACGTCGATCAAATCAAACTTAACAAAAAAAATGCCAAACAATAAAAAAATTATTGGCAAAAAAAGAAAAGGCAAAGATGCAGTCGAGGTGAGAGAGTAAGTATTAAGAATGGTGGTGGTGGTTATCGCCATCACTCATCACTCTAGTTTACATAAATAGAAATGCTAAAATGTACTATACATGTTTTTGTTTTTTTAATACATATCAAAATGTCATTAAAAAGTCAAGAAAATAAACGAAAAAAAGAAAGTGGAGTAATTAAAACAAGAAATCCTGAAGGACAAAAAAGTTCCCATGAACAGAAAAAAAGGAGAACAGTCAATGATGAACCAACAGAAGAGTCTGTTCTCTTTGATGAATCAAATGAGGATGTTTTAATTAATTCTATTGATAAATCAGATTTGAAAGGAGAGACAACATTACCAGTTTCAAAGAAGATCATTGATGTAAGTTTTTGTTCGATACAGTCAAGTTAAAACTTGATAATTATATTCTTAGCATGCTGATATAATTATACTTGATAGACTTCAAAGCAAGAATTTTTGCAAAGAATCTCCAAGAAATTCAAGAACTATCAAGAAAAAATTCCAAAGTCACGCCAAATTATAACGTAAGCTTTGTTGCTAAGATTTCAACATAATAAAATTACTTGTTTTTAAGTTTGCTTGCAATTTAATAGGTTGGGTTACTGGGGCATCTTTGACCTAACGCAGGAAAGTCTCTATGGGTGTATAGAGTTCTCCCAAAGTGAAATCAATGAAATCTCTCAAGGTTTTGCCAATAGTGTTCACTGGTCTCCACAACCAACACCAAAAAACCTTTGTGAATATTTTGATTCTGGCTGTGATCCTGTTAAACTTGTAGATTATGAAGATAACGAAAAACTACACGCGAATATTCAATTTATGTAAGGATTGACTCATCATTATCTATGTAGTATACTCTAATATCTAACAAGATTTTTTTTTGTCAGAATATTTAATATGTCTAAGAAGGGAGCCAAGACAGAGGAAGAACTTAAATTTACCACAATATACCCTTTATTTAATGCAGTTATGGACACTTCATTAGTGAAAGATATATGGTATGTGATTGTGTGATGATTTACAGCAGGGTATATAATATTAAGAGATTTGTATCTTTGTGCACATAGGGGAGAGACTCAGGCACTTAGTTCGAAAAACTTGAGGAATGAAAATGCAAATCCTTTTATCAAAGCTCACATGGGAAGAAAGGTGGATATGAGAGGCATACTCACAAGGACTTCCAATAATTTTGAAGCCTTATACGGAGAAGTAGCATATGGACTATGTCCACTTGGCATGTCACTTGCTTCACAGAAAAAGAAATATTTAGATAAAGTCAAACTTGCTGTATTAATGCGAGACTCTTTGAATTATATTCTCAAAAAATGGAAATATTTACATGACAATCAGAGAAAGAAGCTAATTGTATATGGTTGGCTACTTGTAGGTAGGTTCATTCTGACAGATATTTTATGTGTATGACAATTAACCTAGACTTGCTATATAACTGATTGATTTATTTCACTCAATGCAGGGTTGGAATTATCTCTATATGCGATGAACTGGGCCGGAGATGGGATATATCACTTTGGACTAATAGAAAGTTGTTCTATTCCATCAAATAAAGAAAACTGTGCTTTACTTGAAGGTGCCTTTTGCCTCTTGAAAGAATTGGAGGTATGTATATGTATATTGTTCTTGTTCTATCATTATAACCAATTTTCAAATGCTCAACTAATCTGGTTTTGTTCAGAGGAAGTTGACTGAAACAGAAAAGCTCATCCAGGAATTTCAAACCGAAAATATACGTGGAAAATGTAGACAAGTAGCTATTGAAAATAGTCCAACCCTCAATCTTAACAGAACTCCTTAAGTGTTTTATTTCTTAAAAATCTTTCTTTAAATGGTTAATCAATAATAATGATATGGTGTTGACTTTGCAACTTCAAGTTTAATAATTTTACTTCACTATTTTCACTCCAAAAACTAATATATGTAACTGATTTCATCTTTGCACTATAAAGGAAATTTTAAACATATAAATAAACAAAACCAATCTTTTATGTAAGAAAACCCTTTTCCTTATGTCAAAATTTAATTAAGTTTTCTCTTTATTAATTGCAGAAAGCTTATCTTTTATACAAAAATGTATAATATTACAATTAAATAAATTACTGAGCACTTAACTGGTAACTTGTTTCATAAGAAAATATAAATAATATTATATAAATAATAATATAGAAAAATAAGATGGTTGTTGGTCGAATATGTAGATCAAAATTATATATAGTCTTATATAAAAATTAATATGTGAAGATTTTTTTTGGAATGTGTTTTTCGAAGTTCTAGTGTTACAACAAATTTCATTATCACTCATTAAAGTGTCTGCACACAATACTAATATTAATAATAACAAAGTTGATCAGCTAGCAAAACTAGCACACAATATTGATGCACCATTCCTAAGTCTATTTATTACCACACTATGTTCCATCAATAACATATTTCCCATTATGGAACAATAACTTTGTAGAAATCAAATTGTGCCAATTCATAACTAGGGTTTTTATTCATGAATACAAACCCTATCAGTGACAACACTGATAAAAATTTCTGTGATGATCTCTCCATCATCACTCAAAATATTTTCATCTCTTTTCCATTCTTGTACCAAAATGCTAATCTCTTCAAATCTTCTACATATTCAAGTTTTTTAAGCATTTGGAAAATTTTATCTCCTTTCAGAAGCTCACAATCAATTGTTTCTTTGATTTATTAAACTAGAATGATGACAAGTGACAAT